GAGGGATGGTTGCTAACACCGCAGATTGGGACATCAGCACCGTAGCTGTGAGAGATACCATCTGACCAGAAGAGGGGCGTAATAACCGCAAATGGCGTATGTTACTACCCCAATAGTAATAGCTAGCACCGTACGCGTGGACTAAATCACCCAAATATCCCAATACATTAAGCAGAGAGGTCTGAAGGCACACGTAAGTTAGCACAGAGCTTTTAAACAAAAGAAAGCATTAAAGTGACTTTAGCTGCTCAGAGTAATAGGGAGTTTAGACAACAACATAATAGCGATCGGCCTTCATCCATATTTAACATCCATAACAGGACATACCACACAAACAGTACCTTGCCAACATATCAGTGCTACACGGCGAGAAGATTATTACGTCATATCACCGCAGAGGTCCCACAGAGACGATAACAATGCAGTCAAGATAAGGTAGTATATTATAGATAGATATGACTATGTTGCACATACAGTAAACCACATCTAGTTGACGACGCATCAGTAGCTCTCACAGCACTATGTCTGGTATCTCAAGATCCACAACTACAAAAATAGTATCCAAGGCACTCATGTATAACTGCTCACTGGGCGGACATAATTAAATCGACGAGGAGAAGCAACCTCACCGCGCCGTTAACAGGACTCAAGTAAAGTGATGGCTCAGGGCTTGCAGGTAAATATTGCCTTTGTTATGGTGTCTAAGAGACATACCTGCTAATTATTTACATATTCCCATTCTAAACAACATAGGTGGCCGATGTTGGTTCTTCAGAACGAGTTAGACGCCCATGGCTCCCGTGGGCGCTGTTATGGAGCACCCCTGTAGCATCAACACTGCCACATTCAAGCTACACCGACACACTTCCTAGCAAAGTATCGACCAAAAATAATGAATCGAGATGTAACCTCACGCGGGAGCATATCGCCCGTGGTGAGATAGCTATAGCTGCAAGTGGTCACACGAAACGGACAATATACACGAAGTGTGTGTCGTCACGTTGTCAAGCCAGCCTAATTCCGTGTCGTTGCAGATACAAAATCGTAATATGTGAGGCAAGCGGGTTTTCCATCGTCTATGTCCAAGGTGAGCATACTATGCTAGAGCCTGCTATTGAATCCCCACGAGAACCTCATTTATCGGAGGAGATGAAACTGTATGCGGATTCAAAACTCTCGGAGGACTCTACAATCTTTCCGCTGGTATTGTTCGCACTCATCTGCGAAAAAGTCAATGACGGAGCGTTTCGTGGTCCTGCTCCAACTCAAGAGCAGGTACAATCGTATACAAAGAGATGGCGTGCGAAACATCGTGATGATACAGTCCAACCAGTCATTGATTTTTGTGCTCAAGCCATGTACCACTCTGAGCTATTTCAAGATCGAAATACTCGTGATCGCTTGGTGTTTTGTGATAGTGCGGAGGAGGATGGAAACATAGTCCCTGTTGTTGGCGATGGATCGGATGCAGAGCCAATGCGCGTTGGGATAACTTGTTATTCGCTATTGGAGGCATATATTGCTGTTCAAAGTGATCCACGCTGCACAACCGTTTTACACATCGATAGCACGCACAATACTGTAAGTACACGGTATCCCGTATTCATCCTAGGAATTTCGGATCCCTCGGGAAGGTACTTCCCTATAGTTTATTACTGTGCATCGCAGCGTCGAGCCGATGATATTGCGTGGATTTTAGCTTATCTGAAGCGCGTTTTACGCGAACGTTATGCAGTGACGTTTGAGCCAAGATATGTGATGACCGACGCGGATGATGCACAGTATAACGCATGTGTGCGCGAGCTACCATCAACTAATATCCTTATGTGTTGGTTCCACGTCACTCAGAATGTAAAGGAAAAAGTTCGTCGACTCGATAGCGTGACCAGAAAGATGATATTTCGCGACCTTAATCGTCTCCACTTTTGTATTTCTAGAGGTGAATATCAAAAGCAAAAGCAATGTACGCTTGCTGCATGGCGATCTGCCTTCGACTTTTGCCCTCGATTTAAACAAGTTGGTAAAAGTTTGATTTCGCAGTGGATTGAGCATATCTCGAGTGAAACACAGGCAACAGTGGAAGTGAGGTTTTCAAAATGGCAAATTTACCATACTCCTCCTGGTTATGCCGCCACCAACAACCCTCTTGAGCAATACCACAAGACCCTGAAACTGGTTAACAACACCGATCGCGCCACGCCAATCGAGCTCTTGCAGCGTTTGGATAGATCAAGAACAGCATTTATCGCGAAAAATATCACGTTTAACAGTGTTGCCCATGTTTCAGCCCGCTTAAAAGCATTATACTACCGTATGAAGCGATATGGAGCTATAACTGGGAAATGCATTCCTCCTGTTGGGAACTTGCGACTGGCTCGTGTTGTCTCAGCCCCGTGGGTTGGAAACAAAAGCATTCGCACTCTGGAAATATTAGAGTCAGGTGACGACGATGCTGATCGTTCGGCGGATGATAGTAGTGATGGATACATTCCAGACAATGACTCCGGTGAGAACTATCACAGATGTGATGCTTTTTCTGGGATAGATCCCGATCAAGGAACTATCGTAGAGGAGCCACCTCACACTGAAATAGACAGCGGTGTACTGTCGTGTCCAGACGCTGTTCAACCCACCGGACGCATCGAATCCGATACCGATACTGAGTTTCATGATGCAGATGTGGTTTTGCCTTATAAATCGGCATACACTCTACGTATGCTCTGGGATGGTATGCCTAAAGATGGTTGGATTGTGGATCCTGCTTCAAAATCATGCCAATGTCGGTTTAACGCTAAATTCGCGATGTGTTTACACGTCATTGAAGCGGCTAAAATACTAGGTATTCCATGTCCTGGTATGCCTAAACCAAAGCGGAAATTTGTAAATCGAAGTCAGAAAAGTCAAC